ATGAGCCAAGACTCAGACCTCCTCGATTAGCTGAAAAAGAGATGAGCAGCATGAGGTGAGAGTTGCTGAATGAGCAGCATGAGTTGAGAGTCCATGAGTTGATTGATGAACCTCCCTTAGTTAATGAACTAATTAATGCACCAATTAGAACTTATTCTGGGTTGTATGGGCTCGGGTTAACTGGGGGAGGGTTCTGGTACCCAACTGGATCATTACTGGGGGAATAATTTGGGCAACTTCTGGTGGCTTTGTGAGCTCGGATTAACTTTAGGAGGTTTATTATCGTTACTTTACATTAAGCACCAACCACCCATGGCATGTTTGCATGAGTTGAGCCTCCAGACATCTCAAGCATAGCCTAATGTACGCTGTACGCATACCATGGCATACGTGTGCATGCGTATACATGTTTGTATATAATGTATATATATATATACATCCCATACATGGATCTTTGGGAAGCAGCCCCAAGATGTCGACATCGCCAAGCTCCCAGCAGTTCCTTTCTGCACGTCGAAACCTTTTTTGCTGAAGTTCCTTGCTAGGAACTTCCCAACATGGAGCCCAGTGTGATGCTACGTTTCATGCAGTCAAATGACCATTTTTTATGTGATTGCTGATGGTCGAACAAAAAAATATGTGAGCCAAAACCAGCAGTTTGTATTTCAGGCGATTGCTCCACCTACTATCCAAGATCATGACCCTACAGGTCCGAAGACCCAGTGAAACCTGGTCCTTTTACCTCATGGAGCAGTGTTTTTGCGCAAGCCAATCCAGTAAAATGAGGCCTTTGACCTGCAGGGTGAGTCAGTATCCACGCAATTTGGCAGCAGAAGGGGGGCCAAATCTAGCCTTGCTACCAAGTTGAAGTGACCTGTCTTTCAATTGATATTTTTCAGATTGGTGACATAACCGCCCACAGCCCTCATGTGGCATGTTCCCAGTCTAGCTGCCACCCGCTCCAGTCTAGTGCGGTGTGTTTTTCAAGAGACTGTAACCGCCCGCTCCAAAAGAGGCCGACTGGTCCCTGAAAACCATGCAAAACCGCTGACACTCCGACTCACTAACATGGAAGTGGAGTCCACGGCCATTGGGTAGATAGTGCTTTCCTCTACACACAGGGTTTTCCACTTCGGTGATAGTGAGTCAGAGTGTACTTCGACCTTGGGTCCCTCCATCTTGCTACGGTACCCCGGTCGACCAGTGGCCGAGGCCTCTCGTCGGGGCCCAACCGTCGAGGCTGCGGACGGAGGCGGAACAGTCGGGATTGAGTCGGGATGCAGATTGTTTCAGAGTAGATTGCACAAACCCAAACATGTCTTGTAGATGGGGATCCGTAGACCACCGAACTTGGGGAATCGGACCATCAGGTTCAGCTGATTTTCAGAGTGCTAGGGTGCAGTCTCTATCTACTGAACCTCATCATCCAAAGGAAGTCTCCAATTCCAGCATAGGGTTGACCTGCAGAAGCGAGGAACTTGCGCGTGAAACATGTGAGTTGCACCATGTTGGCAAGTCCCCCTGCTACCAACAATGAACCCATGGCCAGCAGAGGTGAGGGAAGACCATCTTCCAAGATTTAGCCTGTTGAGATGATTCGATACATTGGTCGTCTAGACAGCACAGTTGATGTAGATGGATAGTTGAGGATTAATTGATATTAATTGGTTGGGCAGCAAGTCCGGTACCCGCCTGTTTGGGTCCCAATACAGCCGGTTGCGCCAAGACCCTTGGTATGAGTTTGATCATGTTTGATCTACCTCACCTGCCATGTCCAATGGGCTAACGATACGATTCGGATGCCAGGCTCGACTTTTTCGAGTCAACTCCGCCATTGGCGTCACTGGTCGCGTATGTCCGGCCCAGGGGCCGTCACGCTGACGATGTGACGGCCGTCCCATGAGACGAGACTTGGAGGAAGCCGGCGCTGCTGTGGAGACTGGTGTTTTGCTTTTAATTTTAAGGTCTCTGGAGCAATTTTAGAGAATTCTTGACCCCAAAAAGCCCGACCCGAACATCCCAAACCGAGGAAGCAATAGGGTTGGGTCGACCGATCCCTGCGAAGAGGGAGAAGGTCTGTTTGGATTGTTCAATTGTTTAGAGGAGGGTGTTCTTTGGGCCAAAAGCCTGGCCATACTGGACAGCTGATACATGTCCACCTGGTTTGTTGTTGGGCTGACTGTGAGTCATATACCTCATATATGAGCTCTCATGATTGGTTTGGGAAAAGCCAACACGATGAAAAACAAGAAGACACGCACACATCTACCAGCCGAACAACCACTCTTCGTCACCACGTATGTATACATACGTCACACCCTTTGAAAGCTGCCAGCTAACAGAACGACTTAAGATATCTTAAGATATAATGTATACTTGCAGCACCCGAAACCTGCCAGGTCACCACCTGCCACTTCTATAAGTCTCCCAAAGCCAGAGGAGGCCTCTAAAGTCGGGTTGCCGCTCATGACCACTACCACCAGCTCCGAGGCCGGATCAGGCTTGGGGTGAGGTTCGGGATCGTGCTGATCCACCGGTAGTGTTGTGCTGATCTGCTATCATATCTAAGAGTCTCTGGGGTTTTCCATGACAAACTCATTGGAACGATGACATGATCAGATCAGGAACCATAGGAACCCTTGAGCCATAGCAAGGCTCGGACCTTCTCCGACGCTTTGGGATCCGGACACCACACAGATCCACCTCGCCGTCCACCGCGCGTCACCGCGCCGTCCTGAGGAAACTTTGGCCGTCACTATTCCCACCAGCCGCGCTCAGAGCATGCCGCAGCGCTGCGCCCCTCCCAGCGCAGCAGGTCGGGGAGGATCCCAGCGCTGCGCCCCTCCCGACGGATGGGAGCCACTATATGGGTTTCTGGGAATTCAGTTGAACATGGTCTGACGGAGGATGACACGAGCTTCAGGATATCCTGAAGCCAAGGAAGGAAGGAAGATATTTGAGGTCCATCCTGATCCGATCCACCCTAAACATCGGTAAATGTCAAGTTCAAGGTTATCTCATCATCATCATCATCATCATCATCATCATCATCATCATCATCATCATCATCATCATCATCATC